CTTTCTTCGCTGTCCAGTTCTCACATCCTTACAGGTGATGGGGAATGCAGTTGCTTGCAGGACTCTAACTTCCATGCTTAGTTGTAAATCTTTGCTCTTTATGACCTCTCTAGTTTTTTCATAGCTTCTCTCCCCATTCTTAGCTTTCTGAACCCTAAGGCAAACCTATCATGAGGTTCTCTTGGCAAGTTTCTTCAGAGGGGGTTTGCCATGGTCTGTTCATCTGCCTCTGAGGCCAAGACATTGTGACTTGGTCAAGGTCACCTAGTGGGTTTCCATGGCTGAGCCGGGAACTGGTGTAGAGATTTGAGTGCTGGACTATGGCTCTGGAGACCAGGATTTGATTCCCAGCTTGGCCATGAAACCCACTGGGTGATCTTGGGCAAGTCACACACTCTCAGCCTCTGGGGAAGACTGTGACAAACTTCCTCTGGACAGATCTTGCCAAGAAAACCTCTCGATAAGGGTTGCCTTAGGGTCATCATAATTAAGAAGCAACTTGAAGGCACACAACAACAGTGTTATAAAAAGCCATATGTTAAATTCATAAAATATATCATGGTTTATTTGGATGATTTTAAAGTGATTTTACTGTGAAATTCATCTCAGCTGGGACAACCATTCAGAGAGTCTTCATACTAGCACTCAGTCCCGGAAGATATGTCATGCAAGAGCAATGCCCCTGAGTATCTTTTAGATTGTTTGGGGGTTCCAGATTAGGGCTTTGAAATTAAGAGATTAATTAAAAATAATTAAAATTAAAAGAGAGATCTGCTGCAGTTCTCTTCATAGACAAGATGGTACTGTTACATGATGCCTCAATTAATGTGGAATAACTTATTTCTCACCATCACCCCATTCTGTGCTAATGAATCTTGGGATCTTTTCTTTCCTTCAGTACGCATATGCTTAAAACTAAGTTCAACCAATGTGTTTATATAGCAGAATGGTTTGTTTATACTCTGGGAGTGGAGCAAATCATGTTTATTGACTCCCATCTGGTCTCTTATTATGCCACCCAATTTCTTCTTATTATTTGACGCATGCCCTGCTCCGTGAATGTGGTAACTCAGACTTGTGGCAATGGCTCGTAGCTGGTGAAGGAAAGAAGCCACTGTGCCAGGACTCAGAGCTGTTCCAAACTTTACAGACTGCATGTCTTAGCCTTGATGTTACACTGCAAATTCTGGGGTTGAGTCTGACTACAGTTCAGCTCTGACTGAAAAGGGCTTCTTCTGCCTAGAAAGACACTGGACATCATATAGTTAATACTGTTGACTCCAAGTTGCCTGTTGACTTATGGCAACCCCATGAATTTCACCGGGTTTTCTTAGGCAAGCAATAATCAGAAATGTTTTTTACAATTTCCTTCCTCTGAAATAAGGCTTTACAGCACCTCGCCTATTCATTGGTGGTTTTCCGTGCAAGTACTACCTAGGGCTGATCCTACTTAGCTTCCAAGATCAGATGGGGCTTGGTCCCTTTGGGGTATTTGACCGTTGTGAAAACTTCATTTATCTGGTGCTTATGTAAAAACTTCATGGGAAGGAAGAGGAATTGCATAAGGACAATTCTCCAGTGAAATGTGCCCCATTTGATACTTTGTGGTGATCCAAACTTATCCTGTTGGTAGTAATAGCAATTGTGGCAGGAAAGTAGCTTTCTGATTGATACTAAGATTATTTCTGGAAAGCATTGTTTTTCTGCATTTGGCTGGAAGCAGAATTAAATACAGGTTCTATGCAGCACTTACTGTAGTGCTGTGTTCCCATCTAGTGTCTTTCTCCATGATCAAGATGCTTCTATTATGTTCACAAGCAAAGGTCCATATTAGTTGGGCTTGTCAGGTAAATGTAGGACAGAATTGTTTGACAAGCAGTATTTGCTGAAATTTCCTCTTCTACATAACTATTAAAGGGACAGGGGCCCTGTTCTGTATTTTACCAGGCAACCCTTCTCTCAGTATTAATTAAAAACTTCCTGCTTACAGCTTCTGCCCCCTTTTTTACTTTTGCTGTGTGTTACGTTGGTGTTGATGATGCTTTATTGCTCTGTTTTATGAGTTTTGTGTGTGCATTTGGCTTTAATTTCTTAATATATAACTCTCTATAGATACTTTTAATGTAAAAAATACAAGGAGAATTATAAGACTAAACTAGTAATTAAAGGACCCTTGATCTATGGGAACAGAAGCTGACAATTTGTAGCACTTAACAGGCCAGTCATCAGCAAACTTGCAGCTGTGCTTGGTAGGAAGTAATCAGTGGGCAGAGCCTTTCACTGAAGGGACAGAAATCTTGAAAAAGCTGCAGTAGCATTCTGCCTGTTCACGTTGGACAGTCTGGTGTTGCATTTGGGTTTTATGTAAGAGTTATAAAATAGCCACAAACTAAAATACAATGTTACATTAAATAGATCAGAATAATACCTGATTACATTGCTTCAGATGAGCCAGTGTGGTGTTATGGTTTGAGTGTTGGACTAAGACACCGGGAGACCAGGTTTGACCATGGAAAAGTAGTAGGTGACCTTGGGCATGTCGCACCCTCTCAGCCTCAGAGGAAGGCAAGAGCGAATTCCTTCTAAACAAATTCTTCCAAGAAAACCCTTAATTTCTCTGAAGATGCTAGCCACAGATGCAGGCGAAACATCAGGAATAAATTCTTCCACAACATGGCTACATAGCCTGAAAAACCCACAAAAACCCCTTAACACCTTAGTGTCACCATAAGTTGAAGGCATACAATAGCAACAAATCACTTTAGAAACATTAGGATAAATGATTCCAAACCTTATAGGAAAGGAGATACTAATATATTTCTGTACAGGCCATAAATAGCATACTGTACATTATATTCTATTGTGTATGTTCTGGCCAGAATGTTGTTTCATTCACTTTCATATGTTTTTAAATTATAACTCTCTTCCCCACTGCCTCCAAAATACAGCGAAATAGAATTTCTGTGCTACTGCTTTTCTTGTGTCCTTCCAAAATCTACTCCTGCTGGGAATCCATTAGTTCTTTTCTCATTGGCACCTACTGCTTTACGCGGCTATAAATGAATGCCGTTCCATTATTCTCTCTGCATGAGCTACCCTGTGACCATAGGTACCTATGCTCCCTCCCCTCCCCATCTCTCTCTTGATCCTTCAGCTACCATTGCATATTCAGTCTCATTTTCTTTATCAACAGCCTTGGCAACTGAGGATTTGTTTCCTTATATTCCATACAGTTGTTTGCCACTACTGCACAAATACTGGTCTTCAGGTATAGCTATTTCATAATATTTCATGATGAAAAGGAGAATTGTTGGGAATTTCTAGGCTGCTTGATAAAAGATGCCACAGAACCTGGAAACCTTTGTCTCATTTGGGGTGGGAGCTAGAGATAGCTCCATGTTGGAAGGGGAAGCATTGTGTATTTTCTCAGATATTTAGGCTGCTTCAAGTGATGAAAACAGACCTGTTTGGTCTTTGCTGAATTCTCCCTTCTCATTAAGAATGAGTATCCCCCAGGTTCCACGAAATATTGTTGAATAAGTCCTCAGCACTCCCTTTTGGCACTTTTTAAAATTAGCAGTATTAACATCTTGTATTCAGGAACTTCCTTCTCAACCACAGATGAACTGGTTGTTGTTTTGTGCCTTCAAGTTGTTTCTGACCTATGGCAGTCTTAAAATGAACCTATCACAAGGTTTTCTTAGCAAGATTTGTTCAGAGGGGGTTGCCTTTGCCTTCCTCTGAAACTGAGTGAGTGTGACTTGACCAAGGTCACCTAGTTGGTTTCCATGGCTGAACGGAGATTTGAACACTGGTCTCCAGAGTCATAGTCCAATGCTCAAACCATTGCCCCATGCTGACTCTTTTATGAATGTCAGGAGATAATGCCACTTTTGTAATAAAGCACTGCAACTCTGAAAAAAAACGTAAAACAAAACCAGAGAGAAAAAAATTTCCCTTCAGACCATAGGAACATGTCATCAAACCCCACACCAGTTTTTAAGCACCTTTGGGAGCACTCAAGTGTAGATCCAAGAAATTTCTACAAATGGATCCTCCAAAAAATGAGATGAGTGGACACAAAGGTGACAACAACTGGCCAAACCTCAAGTGACTCTCTATCTTAATATATACCCTCTTTTGCCCTGGGGAAGCTTTCAGTCATCCTTGATCACTTCCAGTATCTGCCCCAGTCCTGAAACCCTTTTTAGTTGTCCCATGTTACACCTGGGTAGGGAGGCCTGTGATCACATTTGCCACCTGCATAAACTGACTTGTGATTGCGATCCCATTTCCCACTGCACTTCTCCCCATTCAACACCCAGCATTTCTCATCTCTTCTTTTTCTTCTTTCCTCCTACCCCTCCACTGGCATGACTAAAATAGTATCCATGCAGTCTCTTTTATTCTACTTCGATACTGCTGAAGAAAGGGTAGTTTAAATACAAAGGCTGTGCATCTTTTTAATGAGAATGTTTCCATGCATTTGGCAAGCATTTGCTGGAAGAATGCTGTCATCTTCTATTACACTCTTCTTCTTTCAGTTCTATGGAACAGATTATCTGCTTAGTTGACTTTTTCCCTTCTCCATTCCTTTCCTCTGATGATTTCCCCCAATATAGGATTACACAGATATTTTTGCTAACCAAAGCAAGATTTGGTATGAGTCCTAAAATGTAAAGAAATATAGTCTCATTCAAAAGTAAATTTTGCTGAAATCAAAATTTATTTTGGATTAAATGTCCCTAAGAATAAACTTGATTCTTCCTGTCCCTCAGTTCTTCTTGTAGTGCTTGGGACACTAAATATGTTTGTGTCAGTTTGATGACACATATGTCCCACTTTTCTTTGCTCATGAAATTCAGTGTACCTCACATAGTGTACCTCAGGTTCTTGAACTGATTGCTATTTCATTTCAATAGACCACCACCCTCAGTGTTTTTAGGCAACAGTCAACAACCTTTTTATCCTTGCTAGAATTTAACAGAAACCAGTTTTATTGCAGATCCCATCTATAGCTGCTGACTGAACCTCTCATTATCCTGATTTTCATTATGTGTTATGTTGTTTTTAAATGTAATTATCCATCAACAATTTGTTTGAGAGGCGGAATAGAAATACTCCACTCCTTACTGCCACCATGGTCAGTTCTGTGAGACATAGTACTGTATACTAGATCAAATCATTGTTATCCCATAGTTGGATTGAGAAGATTTGAGAATGTGCTAGGGAGAGAACTGAGGGATTAAAGGAAGAATAGTTTATGACTTGTGGGACTTACATTTACTGTTTATTGATGGATATTACTTTGGCCATACTTCAGCATGAATAAAGACCCTAATCACTACTCTACTTTAAGGAATAGTTTGATGTATATATATCTTTTTCAACAAACTAAAATGTTAGCCATACATATTGTATGTTCCCATTTATGCTGTGTCTGTTGCCTAAACTAAGTTTGCTAGCAATTTAAAGAATAGGACCAGATAATAACTTGGTGCTTCTATATTCATTGGGCAGTGAGTACAGGCTATAGACAAGTTGGGGTCCACAGTCTTTACATGGCATGCTAAGGGCTTGTAAACCTTCACAATTTTATGTTTTAAGGCATTCCTGTCAGAGTTGCAGCCCTGGGTTAAGGCACATGCTGTGTTCATGTACTGCAGTGCCTGCTTCATGGACTGCAGGCTTGACAGTTTTCCATTAAGATGAACTGCACTTCCTTAGGCAGCTGGCTTCTGTTCTTTGAATGTCCTTGTTGATCAAAGAGAGAGAGGGAGAGAGATCATTATATTGGTATCTGAATGAGTTGTTGGCAGGCTTGAATCTGATCATTGTTTCACATGAAGTTCCATATTTAATTGCTTCCTTTGAGGAAGCTAACTAATCTGATTTTAGAGATTGAAATACATACAGCAGACTACTGTTAAAACTGAGTCATTTAGAGCATGCCTTCTGTCAAGTTCAGATAAAGGTTCAAATCATTTACATGAACATTTATTAAAAAGTTAGGACAATTTCATTCTTAGGAGTGTTGCAATTTGACATGTGCACTAGTGATCTGTTCGTAAGTCAGGGCACATAAAATATTTGATCAGAACTTTGATGTAACAGTGATTTTACTTTGAAATCTTTCCCACATTGTTGTTGTTGTTGTTGTTTATATATATCAAGTATGGGATCTCATCTTACAGTTTGTCCAATAAATTTTGTCATCCATAAATTTACATGGCACTTTACAGAGATTACTTAGTTAATTAGATAATTCCATACCCTCAGGCTTACAATCTAAGGGAAAGGAGAATGGGAATGGCAATGGGGAAGGGGAATAAGTCAAGTGGTTCTTCTCTCTCTCTGAGGCCTGGACCGGGCAGATAGACTGAAGGGAGGGCTCACCTTCTTGTTCTGGGCTAAGCCCGATGGAGCTGGGCCTGTCTCTGTCCTTCTGAGGTTGGATGGTATCAGATAGATTGGAGGGAGGGCTTCCCTTCTTATTCTGGGCTAGGCCTGATGGAGCTGGCCTGTCTTGCTCCCTCTGAGGCTGGATGGTAGCAGATGGATTGGAGGGAGGGCTCAATTAATTAATTAATTAATTAAAATAAAATTAATTCATTAATGTTAACATTAGAAGTTGGGAAATTAATTTATTAGCACCACTACTAATAACTGAAAATGTTTAAATCAGTGATTCCCAAACTTTGATTCCCCAGATCCAACTTCCAGAAGCCCCAGCCAGCTTGACCAACAATCAGGAATTCTAAGAGCTGAAATCCAAAACAACCAGAGGACTAAAGTTTGGGAACCACTGGTTTAGACACATGTTAATTATCTTGTTATTTAAACCTTCAGAAGTGCTCTTTCTTTATTTTAAAGTTGCCTTCCCCAAATTTGGACAGCCCCCCAATGGACTACAAAGTCCATATTATTGTGATGATGATTATTATTATTCTTTTTCCCATTTAAGGAGCCAGGGTGGCTTACAAAGGTTAAAACAGATACAGCTAAAAATCAACAACAACCACATTATATAAAGGTTAGCAATATAATTTAACTAACAACATAATTTATAATACAAATATACCTAGATGTGGTAGGTGTTATGATGATTGGTTCAGATTGGTTTTGATATCAAGATTCCTTTTGGGTCCTTGTCATAGCCCTATGCTGAAAAGAGCCTTCACTGCTATGAGCTCAAAGCGTGAGCCTCACGTAGGCACTCCAAACAGAGTAAAATTTGCATTTACAACCATTTGCAGGTCGAAAAGGCCAGGCTTAGGAGCTGCAAAAACAGGACATTCACACCTAGAAGATTTATGAGGGCCAGCCAGGATGTGTCCAGCTGAAGGTGAGATAAAATCAGCATCCAATCTCCCCTCTTTTGGAAATTGCCTACTTCAAAGCATAGCAAGAGGAATCCTTTGATATACAATAGTAACTCTTCACCTCAACTCAGAATTAAGGGTATAAATGCTCCAAAAAATCTCAGGCGCAGGGGGTCTGAATAGATCTCATGATGCCTGTGCCATTGTGATCTCTAACTAGAGCAGGGTTCGGCAACCAACGGGCTGCGGTCCGGCCCCGGCCCACTGAGGCCTTGGAACCGGCCCATGGCCGGTCCTGCTGCCACTCCGCGTGTGAGCACGGGCACCATTTTGCAATTTGCAAGGTGCAGCAGCTGTAGGGCCTTGGGAAGGCCCCATGGTGGCGGCGCAGGCGCAGTGGGGCCTTCCCAAAGTCCAATGGCGGCTGTGCAGCCGTCGTTGGGCCTTGGGAAGGCCTCACCGTGCCTGCACCATGTGAATTCACATAGCACAGCCACTGTGGGGCCTTCCCAAGGCCCCACCGTGCCTGCGCCATATGAATTCACACGGCGCAGCTGCCGGGGGGCTTCCACAATCATGCCCAATGGCACCCCCCACGTGTGCATGAATTTGCATGGCACAGCCGCCGTGGGGCCTTCCAAAATGGCGCCCACGCCATGCGCACATGACGTGGGGCGCCATTTTGGCACGGCCTACGGCGCCCCCCACACTCGCATGCATGCGCACGACGGTGGGTGTCATGCGCATGCTCGTGGGGGTAAGTGTGTGCACACAAGCGCGCAAGCACGCGCTTGCCCATCCCATGCGCCATTCCCCCCCCCCCCCCCCCCCCCCCCCCCCCCCCCCCCGGCAACAAAAGTTGCCGACCCCTGAACTAGAGTCTCCAGCTCTATTCTGTATTCTTTCCCTGTTATAATGCTTGAGTCTACCTCTTCATTCATCGTTGGAGTAGCCTCCTTTCAGGTAATTATCACCATTAGAAAGCCTTTTATTTCCTATCTAAGGGGGGTTGCAGACTGTCAGAAATAGTGTGAATTCAGTCCACTTTTAGGGTTAGGGTTAGTGCTAGGGAATTATGGGAACTGTTATTTTCCTGAGACATTGAACCTTCTCTGTCAGACAACTCTAGTGCCACAATAAAATACAGTTCCCATGGTTCCCTAACTCTAACCCTAACCCTAAAAGTGGACTGAATTCACACTATTTCTGGCAGCGTGCAACCCCCCTAAGCTAACTACTTTACTACTGAGTTCTTGTGTGTGTGCATGTATGTTAGGGTGTATTTGTATGTTTGATCTTTTATATATTTGTGTGCTTGCTTATTGATTTATTTTTCTCTCTTAATAAAAGTACCATTTTTTTGGGGGGGGACAAATGCTATCTCTGCATGAACTGTTCCCTCTAGCCCCCCCACAATGGGTTTAGATCATATTTATTATTTTTGAGCTAATTATAAATTCCCCAAGGTCAAGTTCTTATTACATAGGGGTCCAACACATTGGGAACTGTTTGGTTGGAGGCTGTCATCAAGTATGGGAT